TTTAAGAGGAGGTTAGATGAACACCTTGCTGGGGTCGTTTGACCCCAGTACTCTTTCCTCCCATGGCAGGGGGTCAGACTAGATGATCTTCTCAGGTCCTTTCCGATCCTAGAAACTATGAAACAAGGAATAATGGCCACAAATTGATTGAGAGCAGGTTCAGACTTGATATCAGGAGGCATTACTTTACGGTTAGGGCTGCCAGGCTCTGGAATGGGCTCCCAAGGGAGGTAATGCTCTCCCCTACCTTAGGGTCTTCAAGAGGAGGTTGGATAAATATCTGGCTGGGGTATTATGATCCTAGCACTCATTCCTGCCCAGGGCAGGGGGTCAGACTTGATGATCTTTTCAGGTCCCTTCTGACTCTGGAAACTATGAAACTATGAAATAAAGAAAAGCTGGCTCTGTCAGTTCTGATTCAACCACAACGCGAAGTTTGATTTCTTCCACACACCCCAGCAAAAAAATCGCTTAAATAAATAAACTACCAAATAGTGACGTTCACATTTGCTTTCAAATGCCTCAAAAAGTACTTGCCTGCTTTGCCCGAAGAAGATCACTTGAGAAGACATGAGTAAACTTCATGTTACTGAGAAACATACCAGCAGCATCTGCTTGTCTGAAACCAGTCGCAGAAAGGGGCTCATCAATACCCTGACCTACAAAACAAGAAGTTCCCAAACGCTTCAAGCATGAGTTTTAGTTGATTTACCATTTATAGCATCCAGAGCACACAGGCAGGACAGGAGCCCTGCTATACCATACCCAGTCTCCCATGCCTCAGAAACTCAAAATTCAACAAACATCATGCAAATTAAGTAGAAAAGAACAGCGTGCGTTAAAACTCCAGGAGCAAAGACAACAAATATTTTCTAGTGCTACTTCTGCTTGTAGAGCTATCAAAAGAAATGTACATACATTCAGGCCACCTGTAGCATCAAAAAGTACAGCACATCTGCCACCAGTCTGGCAGTTCTGTGACATTTATAATGGTGCATGAGGGAGAGCTGGCTCCTTGACAGTCCTTGGTAAGCTGCTGTTCTGCTCTGCTCTGCCAAATATCTGATTTGTGTAGTGGCAGCCATGGCTATCAAGCACAGTCTCCTTCACCAGCATCTATTTTGTAGTGCTACAAATGAATATGTCCAAGGCTTACAGCTTATTTATGTATGCAACAATTAAACACACATTCAGATCCTTAATTTTCAAAAATTACTAGCAAGTAAAATTTCAATCACTAGTAAGCTGACTGTTCACTCCAGGATGAACATGAGTTGTCAATGTGATGAAGCAGTTGGCAGAGCCAATTGCACCTTGTCATGCATCCGTAGGTGCTTCACAAAGAGGCCAGGGAAGTGATTCTCCCCCTCTATGCGGCACTGGTCAGACAACAGCTGGAGTACTGTGTCCAGTTCTGGATGCCGCAGTTCAAGCGGGATGCGGGCAACCTGGAGAGGGTCCAAAGAAGGGCCACTTGCCTGATTAGAGGCCTGCAGGGAAGGCCGTATGAGGAAAGGCTAAGGGACCTTAACCTCTTCAGCCTCTCCAAGAAAAGGCTGAGAGGGGACCTTGTGGCAGTGTACAAATTCATAAGGGGGGAGCAACATGAAGTAGGTGAGGACCTGTTCACCAGCGCACCCCCTGGAATGACAAGGAACAATGGCCATAAGCTACCAGAGAGATGGTTTAGGCTAGACATTAGGAGAAAGTTCTTCATGGTCAGGGTTGCCAGAGTCTGGAAAGGGCTCCTAAGGGAGGTGGTGCTAGCCCCATCCTTGGGGGTCTTCAAGAGGAGACTGGATAGGCACCTGGCTGGGATCACAGGACCCTAGGGTTGGTGACTCTTTGCTTGCCTGCCAGGGCAGGGGGGTCAGACTAGATGGCCCACTGAGGTCCCTTCCGATTCCATGAATCTATAAATTTTCTTTTTTAATTTTGGCTGGGGGATACCTCTATGCCACAATTTTTGAAGATTTTTAACACCATTTTTCGTGTATCCTGTACACCAGAGGTTCCCAATTTTTTTCTTATTGCGTATCCCCCTCCAGGTTTATCAGCTGCCTGTATACCCCTACCCACATATTATAACCCTTTAAATGTCAATATTATAATGAAAATTAAATCCACCATTACACAGTATCTCCTGTGTACCCCCAGAGAGGTCTTGTGTACTCCCAGAGGTATGCGTATCACAGTTTGGGAACCTCTGCTTTAAACATTACACACATTAGACCAGGGCTGTCCAAATCATAGCCAGCAGGGTAAATCTGGCCCCAAGGTGATAAAATGCAGCTCCTGGGTGACTACCCAGCTGCTGCTCCCTCTCATCACT